TTCCAAATTTATTTACACGTCTATTCGAACGATATCGATCTATCTATCATCAGTCATTCGTAATTCAACATCAAAGAAGATTTTTGTAGAAAGACCCTCTCCCCGTTATTTTGAGATAACACACATCTGTAGATGTTTACAAAGATATACGAATTGGTACGATAAATGATATCTAAAATTAGTTTCATACTTCTTGGAATACAATTATTATAAATTATATTGGAATATTGTTTTAAAAATTAATTAGTGTGTTAAAGAAAAAAATCAATTTTTCTAATAAGCATCCATCGAAGTATGTAAACTATTGGTTAAAATTATTCACATTCTACTTTATAAAATATTTTCTAAGTGTTCTGTAAGAGCCTGTTTTTCGTAAGGTTTTTTTTTGATATAAGCGATTTATTTTTTTGTTTATATACCTGTTATGAAAATGTATCAATTTTTCTATATAATTAAATAATATGTTGATCAATATTATATATAATTATTTACATGGACAGTAATACGTTTATATTTTATTTTCAATATTATTTTCTTCATATTTTTCTTATCAGAAAACATTGATTATATCGTGTACGATAATTCTGTTCGATTCAGTATAATGACGAATAATCTATCCTTAACTTTCAACGATGCTATTGGTCGAGCCTCTAGCCGAGCCTCTTTATCGTACTGTCTCTCTCTTTCACAGTGCTATAAATATAAAATTATACAGGGTGAACCGTTTGTAATGATCGGTTTAATTTTATTTTTCAAAGCAAACCGAAATATCTACAAAACAATTTCGAACAAAAATTTTAAGAGGTTTCATGAGGGGTGGGAAATATCGCCTTTAAATTTTTTTTGGTCAATAAGTAATGATATATTTGATATTTTTGAGATATATCAAGAATTTTATACATTTTTCTACAAATATAAAATACAATATAATACAAGTTATAATTATTAAAATATAAAAAACATTATAAACGTATATTTTAAATAAAATGTATTAAAGTTATTTATTTACATATATATTGTTAGAAATTTCAAATATACTTGTTGGCCAATCCAATATAATTATGCATAGATAAGCAAGCAAATACGAATGGCATAGTTAAAAAAGATAAAATAGCCGATCAAAGTTCAAAATATGACTATGTTAACCGATAATAATTTTGCTGAAATGACTAGCACTTTGTTCACTTTTTACAAAATATGTTTAAAAAAGATATTGAATATAAAAATCAAATTGATTTTTAAAAGGTCACTCGTCGCGTGCAACAGATCATTTTTATCCTCCATCGTTAAATTATATTCCTAAGGTATATTACGAGATTCTATCGTGTTCGTTTCAAGGCCAAACATATCAAGGTTGGATTAATAAGAAATTACGAACTTTAAGATAAAATCGTATCTATTGTTTTTAACACTATAAACGTAACTATCACGATAGTTACAATTAAGCGATTTTAAATGACCGATTTTTGAATTAAAAATAACAATTCTTTTTCTATTAGACTTTTATAACGATTGCCACTATTAATTGCTTTATCGTGTGTTTATTTATTTAAATGGTATTTCTAAACTCTGAGATAGTTCTATATGTTTACTATACCAAAATTTATCATTATCTATATTCAATTATAAAAAAAAAAAGATAATTTTGGTTAAAAACCGATTATTCAATTGATCATGTTACGATATTAAAAGTTATAATTGAAGTGTTCAGAACTTAAATACTAAAACGCATAAATATTATCTATTGTATCGTATAACAACGTAACGTAATTTACAATGAATTATATAAATACGAAATGAAAGGAATGTGGAATTGTATAGATAACAGTATGTATATGTAAAGGACTAACATGAGCAACGTGCCGGCTCTTGATTCTTCTCACAATCTGATTGGTCGAGCCTCTAGTCGAGCCTCCATCGTAAATGACCTAATGACGCGGAAAAGAGAATGCATATGTTTCACCAAAGGACACGATCAGAATTAAGAGTGGGGGAAAAAGAGAGACAAACAAATAGAAAGAAAGGAGAAGGGAGCATTCATGTCCTTCAGCTATTTGCGAGTAACTGGACGAATGGTGGCACCGCGCGATCTGAATTGACCAATCACGAATAAGTAGCAACGACTCTACGAACAATCGACTGTGTACAGTTTAACTTAATTGACTCGAATTTAATGATTCTCCGCGTTTATACTTATATCTCTTCGTGATGATATTTTTTTCTATCTTTTTTATACACATTTTATTTTTCCTCATTATTATTATTGTTATTATCATAATTTTGTTTTCTATTTTTTTTCTTTTTGATTTAAAAGCAATCAGACAGGAATGAAAACAAATAGTTTTGTTTCTTTCGCGAATGCGTTTACCCGTAAAGTATATGCGATGATATTTCGTAATTTATTTGAAGGTATCATAGTAAATAATGATAAAGAGTGAATTCTTCGATAATTAAGGTTTTTTTTGTTTGTTTGTTAAATTTTAATTTGAAAAATTTTTTTGTCTATTTCTACACTTTGTAAAAATAATTACGTATAATTACTGCATATGATGATGATACATAAACGATTGATAATTATTTATATTACGAGGAAAAATATATTTTAAACTTGTCTTTTTTAGACTTTTAGTAATTTTGTTTTGTTTAGTTGTGAAATGTGGGATTAGAATTGATGCGATTAACACGTATCGATCTAATCTAATGTTTAAAAAATGAATAAAAGAAAAACACACATGGCAGATGACAATTGGGTTTTTCTTTCATTGAAATTTTTGTTAGTCGGTCGCTCTTCGATTGGCATCGGTCTTTCTAGTTTGACCTTTATTCGTAACGTCAGGAAACGATGCATGTATTATGTATATATGTTGATATAAAGATGTCGCGTGTCAATTGAGGAAGAATTGTAACACACGATATTTATTCGATAATACTATTCCTCGTGATATTTTTGTTCGTGTGGTTATCGTTACAATGTATTATTTCTTGATTTTTGTTTTGTTTCTTTTTTTATTTTTTTAATTCGATTTAATATTAATAAAAATTTACAAAGAAAACATTAATTTGAAGTGACGTCAATTTATTTAATAAAAGTAATTATCGTTTAAAATTAATCGAATAGATAGATTTAATTCGATTTCTCGACAATAATAAATTTAACATTCTTCTCACTGTTATTATCTAAACTGAAATGAAGATAAATAAATGATCTCGCTTAACGTGAGATTATGCGAATTAATCTCAATCGTAAGAATAATTTGAATTGTTTTTTAATATTACCAACAACTCTCTGATAATAATTATAATTCCAAAGGAACTAAACACAACTATGTAATATCTCGATCGTATTCGATTCGCGTGCTTCTTGCGAATAAATTATACGATTATGCAATTTGTTAAGTTAACGAACACCACACACCGCATCACCGCTCTGTTCGTTCGTTAGTTGTGGAATTTGTTCTTTCAAAAGTGACGCAACCTATTATGATGAGATTCTCGCGACAAGTATTCGCGATAAGTATCGTTAAAAATCGTATAACGAAATCGTTTATTGTAAACAACTTAAAATATATATATATATATTTTGAACGGTGTACTTTGATCCAATTTAAAATTGAAAAGGAGGTGTGCAAAAATATTTTTATCATTGTTCGAAATCTATTATTGTTCCTTCTTACCCATACTTTTTTTTTTTCTTTTCTAATACGTCATTTTTGATTTCAACGTATCACAGTATGACACGCCTATATATTTGGGAAATAATTGTATTTAAACATCAACGATTATAATGAAAATATTTTGTAATCTTTCCCTATCGTTGTATCCGTGAGATTAATGAGAAGTGTTCTTTAGTGATAATTTGAAATTATTAAAATCTTTATTAATACCTTATTGACAAAATCTATCTACTGCGTAAATTTTACGATACGGTTTGTCAATGATTGAAACTCATATTTTTTATAGATCGATTACTACTGCGTAAATTCGCAGTACGTTCACGAGGAAGTAGTGGAGGCTCGTCAAACGATCGAAACTTTCACATTGACGGACTATAACGTTGAATTATATCTTTATTTTTGATTCATCATATATTCTGATTATTTTAATATAAGGAAATAATAATAAAAAATATATATATATGTTTATTTTAGGCCGATGAAATATTCAATTGTTAATCATTAATTCGATTAATAATTTCAAATAAGTAATTTGATTGTTTCATAATATAATTAACCTTTTTCGTTAGCACCGATGACTTGACTTTGGTCACCCGTTAAATTTTTTTTCATTGATTCTTAACTTTATTTATATTAGTTCAAGATCAATAGAATAAAAAAGTCAATAATTTACGTGTGGTGACATATATCAAATGTCTCTCAGTGATAAATTAATACGATTAATGTAATGATTATTACTTTTATTATTAATTATATATTGAATATATTTCACTTTTTGTAATCGCGTTAATCATTTTCTCGGATTATAGACGAATTAAATATACCAGTTGAAATTTCTCGAAGTTTGAAGGAAAAAATATCCACACGAGTCTGTGGTTTCGCTGAGAAAGCATTTTT